TAATTATTACTCTTTTATTGTCCTCTCTCCTTAATAGTAGTTTTTCTTCATATTATCTAACACTCAGCAACACATCGCGTCTTAGTGGCTTTATTGCCTTCTTTTGAGTGAAATGATTGAAATTAAACCTGATTCTGGGTGTTAACATGAACATGTTTTGTCTTTGTGAATTAAGCTGAGGTATAGTAAATATTCTGTTCAGTACCACAGATCTGCTTGTCAATCACCTGACCGTAACCAATTAGACATGTCCCTCAGTGTTTGACGTACTGTATATCTCTGTTTATAAGCGGGAGGAGTTAGCAAGCATTATGGTCGGGTATCGAGTGGTTTTTTTTGTTATATAGTTTGAATGACGAGGCATCTAAGCCTATTTGTTGGTCACATCTAGTAACTTGGGAAGGCCATCAATCAGGCTGGGTTATCCGACTTCAAGGTATTTCTAACTGGGACCCACATGTAAGGCTATACCTCTACTTTTACCAAAACCTTTCACGATATTGTGCCTATTTGGTTGTGGTGCACCTGCCTGGTATACTCTTATCAAACTAGGTGTCCTGATGGGCACATTGGGATTCGTATATTTTAGCCCAGCGCCACTTTGTAGGCATGCTCTTCTCTCTCTCTTTCAATTATTGTTATGGTGAAACACACCTATTCTATAGTTAATAGACTCTTCCACCTAATATAAGTAGGAGTAGTAAGAGAAACAAGGGTCAGTTGATGTCGGACGATCGGCTGAAAGGTTGAACTCTGCCTTCTCGTTCGGTAAACCGACCCTGAACCCGTTTATACGGGTTCAAAGGGTATATTTTTGGCCGAGCCCACGGGCTCGGAGACCCCACGTTAAACCGGCCTTATGCCACATGATACCCTCGTGGGGGTGACTAAATACTAGTCGATGTCGGACGACAGTTAGTCGAATACGAAAGTAGTCAGCGACCACAACAAGATTACTCTGCGTAATACCTATTATATTAAGTTCCTAACCTTTTGTACGTCTAACTATTTAGGACCGATTTAGTAAAAATACAAGCCTCCACTGCAAAATACCTCCACAACAATTATAATAGTTTTTTCTATTTTAATTCTTAATTAATGACTGAATAAGCTCACGGCGAGTTCTACGACAATAAAACATCCGTAGAAATTCCTCTACCGCATCATTAAATATTTGAGCTTGACAACTTTAACAAAATATTGCAATATTATAACAATTGTAAATATGAATGCTAGTTGTTATTTTCAGAAGTAAATATCCTTTGTAGAACCACATTTCTGTCGTTTCAATTTTGGGGGAAATTGTCCAGCATTCACTGCCATATAGGAGAACAGATATCACGTAGCAGTTCAGTACACTTTTCTTTGTTTCTAACGAAAATTCCGACGTTAAAATCTTTCTCTTTGTGCTTCGGTTTAGTCAAAAGCCTATAATAAATATCAACAATCTTATTGCCAATATTGTTATCATTTTGTTGTTGTTTTATTCCTCAGATTTCATTAACCGGCCTATTAAATCCCCCCCATATATATATTTAATCAATTCACCGCACTTAAGCAAGGCGATAAATCCACTAAGATATAAGAAATTACTGAGAATGAAAGAGAACGAGGTGTTATATTTACCAAATACCCAATATTTGAAAACATTTTTCATTTTCTTTACACTTGAGTTTGAAATAGACAGGGTGGTTGGAATAAAATGTGTTGCTGAGAACTTTCGGAATACTAAATAGAAGAGGACTGTGGGATAACAAGGTAATACAATCTTCTAGAATGCTCGCTGTCTGCACTTGCACGCTGGACATTCTATCTTGCAGCTGATGTTTAATCCTTTCTTTTCTCTTTCCTGCATGATCCTCTGTAGGGGCATTTTGTAGTTGTCTTTCCGTGTCTGCTATCAACACTGTGTCATCTGCATATCTTACGTTGTTAAGATTGTGGCCGCCAATAACAAATCCTCATTAGCGACCGAGAAATATATATATATTTTTTTTTATCAGTAACCGATATCATATACCGTGCGGAGGCGAAATAATATTTCTGCTGTTTGCGAGGACACAGAGGAAGGGGCTGGAGACATCGGCTGTCACTCGACCCTCAGCGATAGCCACGAGGTACGGATATTCAAATGTATGAAATTAGAACCAATTATATAAACAGCAGGATAGATAAGACATTGGGAAACAGTAAATTTAGAGTGTTTAGAAATAAAGACGAGGCAGTGAGTCAACAAAGGTAGCAAGCTGGACCTGAAAGTTTACAAGCGTACAAGTACCCCTGTCTCAAGACTAAGTCAGATCAGTCCGATAAGGTCGAATTGGCGGCTGATCTCAAAAATGAACCTACAGTCCGATATTAACTAGGACAAGGAATGAATTGTTAATTTTAACGTCTCTAAAAAAAAAAAATCGCTCTCTATTAATCATCCGAGTGACCCCTTTCTGCCTTCCATCAGCATGACTGATGCTAACCTCCAGGAAACGAACTCATTGCACCATCTCGAGTTAACATTCACGACTGAAAGACTAGATTGGATCCATTGCTAGATCAACTGCTAAGCAAGTTGGTTTACTGTGTCGTGTGAGAAAATTTTCCCGCCAGAATCTAACTTACATATCTATAAGTCTACCATTCATCAGAATATTGCTGCCATATATGGTCCGGTGCTCCCGATATATATTTAGAGACTCACGATAAAATCCAAAAGAAAATCAGCAATATTATTGGTCCTGACCTGACATCTCGGCTTCAGTCACTTTCCCACCGACGTAACGTAGCTTCCCTGCGCCTTTTTTTTTTTTTTAAATAAATCCATTCATGGTAATTGTTCGCACGACCTCTTCGTTATGATACCTAGATATTTTTGAATTTAAATACCCTAGGGAAAAGGGCATTTGTGTGAGTCTAGTAAGACTCACACAAATGCCCTTTTCCCTAGGGTATTTTTGCCAGTTCGTTAGATTCAATTACGCACAAATACCCTTTGGAAACGTATGAATCAATGACAGAGAGTAACAAATATGTAATTGTTGTCACTGTATATTGAGATAGATACATACATAGATAATGAACATATTTAGATAGATAGGTAGATAGATAGGAGAGTTTTGTATCTCTTGTTTTCGAGATAACAGAGGGAAATAAATAAGTAAGACAAACTCGTAGGTAATTAATGAAATAGAAGGTTTACTACACGAAGGTATACTTAGCAAATGACCTAAAGCTAACTCTCCTCAACCCCGCTTAACTCTGCTTATTTAAGACGGACGATTCCATTCATTTATGTTCCAGATGACAAATTGATAATTTTTCCATTTCACTGAAGTAGAACTTAAAACAGTTCTTTTTTCCACTTTGTGCAGAACCAACCGCACTTTTTGAAGGGCCAAGTACAGAGACCTGGTGCACTACGTGCCACAAGGTCCCCAAACGATCCTCCACATGTTTTGAATTCAAAGTTGTCCTTCTCCTAGACCAGTTGCCATCCATTGCTATAGAACCCAGTCTGTCCTGCTATTTTCACATAGCTGGGTAAATAGCAGGCGAAAGTGTGAGGCACCCAGCGAGGATCGAACTCACTACTCGGCTGTAATTGATCTGGCGAGACAAGCTTGCTAATCATGTCCAAATGAATGATGATTATGATGATGGGCCCTGTGGGTGTGATGAAATTAATCAACAACTATTAAAAGCTAATCCCAGGATCTATTTTGAACCAGACAATAACAGGTGATCGTTCAAACACATCGCTGTGCAGTCAATTGCACAGGATCCGTGAGTCTTAAAAAACAAATATACGAGTTGACCAAAAGATCAAAAAGAATAGATTAATAATAAAATGATTCTTCAATTGATTCAGACGAAGCGTATCAAATCTTAATCCTTATTATTTGATGTTAAGATTATCTCCTTTTTGTTTTTCGAATTTCTTTCATAGTTTTTGTTTTCTTTTTTTTTTCTTGTCGCGTCTCTTCGGCACATTGACGGTCACATGAAAGCGTTAATCTCGTTTGCTAATCTCGCGTGTCTTCGTGGCCACACGAATATAGGTGAAAAAACTGCAGCTGTGTACAAGTGCGCACACATATAGGAATTAAGATGAACTTATTATATCTTTATATACATACATGCATATGTGTGTAAGGCTAAGATAAGTTTTCCTTTTGTCTTTATTCATACAGTCCTTTTACAGATGTACTCTATTAAAAATGTTTACATATATATGTGTGTTTGTGTGTGTGTGCGTGTGTGTGTGTGAGTGTGTGTGAGTGTGTGTGTGTGTGTGTGTGCGTGTGTGTGTGTGTAATAACGAGAATTACTGGGGTCTTGAATTGATATTAACAAAAGGCTAAAAAGAAACCGGACCGAAGCCGCCATAGAAAAACAAAACGAAAAAAGGAAACACAGACACGTAAGCACGCTAACACACACACACACACACACACACACACACACACACACACACACACACACACACACACACACACACAGATCAACGAGCACAAATAAACTTGCATCAATTTAATGAGATACAAAGTGCTAGAAATTTAAAATAAGAAAACATACCCCTGTCTGTATTTCTGAGATGAGGTATTATGTACACTATTTACATTATTCGGACTATTGTCTTCATCTTTGTCGCCATATTTATAATGTAAATAGTGTAAAGAAAACAGACCTAGAATAAAATTGGAATCCAATCTAAAAAAGCCTAAAACACAAAGCCATTCCCAGTGATTTGAAGTTTCACGCTATGAAGCGATCCTCAGACAATCTAGAGAAGGAAAACATATGATAGAAACCGAGTATATCTATTTTTGGAATATTGCTGCCACATATAGTCTGGTGCCCCTGCTATATACTTTGATCTCCTTGATAAAATCCAAATAAGAATCAGCAATATTATTGGTCCTGATCTGGCGGATTCCATATCTAATTCGGTTTTTTCCTCAGTGCTTAAACTATGTGAAAGTGGTTTTTTGAAAAATATTTTTCAGTCGAACATTAGGTGTTTTCAAAACTCTTCTTCTTCTTCGCCTCCGCCTCCTTCTCTTCTTCTTCACCTCTCCTTCTTCTTCTTCTTCTTCTTCTTCGCCCCCTCCTTCTCTTCGCCTCCCGTCCCCCTTCTTCTTCTTCTTCGCCTCCCCTCCTTCTCTTCTTCGCCTCTCCCTCCTTCTTCACCTATCCCTCCCCATCCTCCTCCTCCTCCTCCTCCTTCTTCTTCTTCTTCTTCTTTGTGCTACATCTCTTTAGTGCCGATCGTGGCTCTCTAAAACTTCCTACCACTTGTGACCCTTAGCAGTCTTTCCTCCCTTTGCTAAAGCCCCTGCCTTCCGCCAGACAGTCACACAAGCCCGTCAGAAAGGTGGCTAGCTTCCTTTTCCTATCTCTCTTGCCCTGTGTGGGTTAAGTTTTCCAAGCCCTCTTTCCTCATTATGTGTCACAGGAATTACAGCTGCCATTTCCTGACTCTGAGCACAAGTGTTCTTTTGGCCACCATTTTCTTTAGGACTTTCTCCTTGCCTATTCGTCCGGTCCGTGGAATGCTCAGTAGCTATATTTCTGTTCCCTCCAGTTTTCTCCTCATCCCTAGCGAGATTGTCCAGCATTCATTGGCGAATAGGAGGATCGATATCACATAGCCATGCAGCATTCTTTTCTTTGTTTCTAACGAAGTTTTCTTCTGTTTCTTATCACATTGGTTAGATTTTGGAAGGCAACGTTCGCTAATCCGATGTGTGTTCTGATCTTGATGCCGCATTTTCCACCCTATGTTAAAAACACTTCCCGAATACTGGTGTTGGCATTAATTAATTTATAACTTGCATTTTGGGCTTTTTCTTGCTGATGACCATAGTTTCTGTTCTCTTGTAGTCGATGGTTGTTCATTTTTTTTTCTCTACCCTGTCCAGAAGGTCCTGTAGTTTTCTGTCTTAGTCCTCTGCTTATCTTAGGAGGCACGGTGGAGTAATGGATAGCATCTTGGATTGAGGAATCGGAGAGCCGAGTTCAAATTCCAGTCGAATCCATTACATTCACTTACGTGCTAACACCCTTGAGAAAGGTGTGAATCCTCTTTCTTCTCCCTCCAGCTATGGGTAAATAGCAGGACAGACTGGGTTCTATAGCCTTGGATGGCAACTGGTCTAGGAGAAGGAAAACTCTGAATTCAAACCTGTTCTCAGAGGAGGGTGAATAGAGTCTCTCTGAGCCTTGGTTGGCAATCCATATAGTGATGGTGTCACGATAAAAACACCCTTGATAGCCCTAGCGAAGCATCAAGAATTCAGCTATTTGACAAGATTATGAACTACACCAATCAAAGTATTGGTGAGTTCAATCTCGGCTGTGGCTGCAAGATGATGATGCTTATCTTATATTATTAAAATTACCGCCAATAATATTGTGTCCAAGGAGTTTTAGATATCTATTCCTGAATCTGAGTAGAAGTGTCCATTTTGTTGCAATTTTCTTCAAAACTATGTTGTTGCTTATTAGCTCCGTCCATGGAATGTTCAGCATTCTTCTGTAGAACAACATTCATGCTGCCACTTGTTTTCTCCACCTCTATGGGGAGACCGTCCGACATTCATTGCCATGTAAGAGGATGATATCACAAAGCAACCCAGCACTATTTTCTATCCATATGCAAACAGTTTGCTTCCAGCACAAGTTCTCGATTATTCTAATATCTTTTTCTAAATCGGTTGGGTTTTCCCAGTAGTTCATACAGGTCATCGGGCCGTAGCATACAATAATAATTGTATTCTTTGAAATCCTCTAATGGTTATGACATCAACGTTTCCACTCGTTCTAAGTTCCCTCCTATATTTTTCTGATTAAATACACAGTCACAGACAAAATAAATTGGACACATAAAATGTTTATAAGGTTATTAAGAAAAACGTAATTTCTAATGTGGCTACAAAATTAAAAATTGAGTTGAACACAGTAAATACTTATGGTGATATCTATTTATCTATCTATCTATGTCATTTTATTCTTATCTATCAATTATCGTCTCTTCATATCTATATCTATCTATCTATCTATCTATCTATCTATCTATCTATCTATATGCATGTATGCATGCATATATATATATATATATGCAAAAAGTGTGTGTATATAAATATATATATATATATATATGTAATATATTAGATATATTATTATTTATATATTATATACGCGGTACTTATTAGAAAGCGCTCAATATCAGAGATAGAGCTGACATATTTGGTTGGATAGATGTGAGTTTGTGACCCTGGGTTTCACGCTTTTGCGATCGTCAGAGTTTGTCTGACGATCGCAAAAGCGTAAACCCAGGGTCACAAACTCACATCAATCCAATCATATATATATATATATATATATATATATATATATATGTCAATTTATTTTTATCTATCTATCTATCTATCTATCTATCTATCTATCTATCTATCTATTATCGTTTCTTCATATTATCTATCTATCTATCTATCTATCTATCTATCTATCTATCTATCTATCTATCTCCGTTTGTTAACTGTACTTCATGTTAATAATTGGGTTCCCTTTCTTGATTTCTAAAAGTTATCCTTTTAAGACTTCCCTATTGAAAAATTCGATGATATCAATTTTCCCTTTCGCTACCTATAAAATTCCTGGCTCATCAGTCTTTGCTTCATTGAAGGCCAGCGAATATCATCAATGGATGATTTATACTTTTTTTTTTCAAAGATACGGGATCATTCACTCCTTCCTAATTCGAGTCTAAATGACTAACTGGCAAATTTCGGATTCACGAATTTCCTATTTTTTTAGGATTCATGCGGTAACGTCATCATTTCCTGGAGTTTGTCCTACAATGAAGGCAGAAAGACCAAGCCGAAAACAGTACCATATCCGCATGTATATTTCTCGAAGGGAAAAAAGGCGAAAACTCGTGACTGCTTCGTGTAAAGAATACGGATCTCCATTGTGTATTAAATACTGCAAGAAGCATCATATTCACTATTGTTCGGACTATTGTCCTCATCTTTGTTGCCATATTTATAATAACGTTTCGGCCACTTTGCGCTCCGGCCTTCTTCAGGTGGTTCAGGTGTGTCCTCAAGGACATATGGCACAATAGATAAAGGCGTTAGTTAGATCCAGTGACAGGACCCAAAAGAGTTTGAGTTCAATATCTGGTTATGGCGGTGGAGAACTTGGAGAGGGGAATTAACAGTAGATAACTGATAACTGACATCCATTAAGCATGGCGCATGGAACTAGAACAGTCTACCCCAGTGAGCGAAATAAAGGGTTCAGTTCGACATTCCAACCACCTGAAGAGGGCTGGAACGTACAATGGCCCGAAATGTTGGGATAAATATGGCAATAAAGATGAGGACGATAGTCCGAACAATGTAAATAGTGTACATAATACCTCATCTCAGAAATACAGACAGATACTAAAGGGCCGAAACGTTATAATAAATATAGCGAAAAAGATGAGGACAATAGTCCGAATAATGTAAATAATGTACATAATACCTCATCTCAGAAATATCAAGAGATACTAAAGGGCCGAAAAGTTGGAATAAATATGGCGACAAAGATAGGACAATAGTCCGAATAATGTAAATAGTGTACATAATACCTCATCTCAGAAATATAGACAGATAGTAAAGGGCCGAAACGTTGTAATAAATATGGTGACAAAGATGAGGACAATAGTCCGGATAATGTAAATAGTGTACATAATACCTCATCTCAGAAATATAGACAGATACTGAAGCATCATATTGTTTTAAATATGTTTACTTTATTTCCTGTTTTATCTTTATTTTTATAATCTAAAACAGTTAAAAAATCATTTTTATAGTTTTTTTTATATAAGACAGACTAATTGTTCCAAGGAGAGGAGTTATAATTTTTGCTATGGCTTTCGCCAATTTGTGTGTGGTGCTGTCTATTTTTATAAGACGATGGGGCGCATCGGGATTACCTGTTTTAAGGGTTTCAGGGAGACCGCAAAGATTGGGTGTCCTATGGTGATATTCTCTGATTTGTCAGAGGGAGGGGATGCGGATTTCTTTATTTTTTGCTAGCTTCTTTAATATATTTAGGTGTCTCTGTGACCTTGTATTTTCGTTGTTATTTTCTATAGTAGAAGTGATTATGCTTTGAATTAAACCTTTTGGTAAAGTCAGCGTCATTTCGTTTATGATTTTTTTTAATATAGTGTTTCCTTTATGAATTCCAGTGGCAAATTTTAAATCGAAGCTGGGGGCTCCCCGTTCTGTATTAGCTAGCTTTATATCCGACAGATTTTCTATTAAATTTGACCTTCCAACATGAAATGAGATTTTGATCATGAACAAAAATACATACGTAGAAAAAAGTAACTCATTTACTCAACGATACTGACATATACGAATAAAGAAATGAACAGAAAATAATTAGTGGCACAAAAAATTTAACAAAGAGATAATGAAACTAATTAAAAATGAAGATAAATCATGCTAGAACACTCAAATTTTACGGTCTCCCTAAACGCCACAAAACAGGTATCCCGATGCACCCTATCATCTCGGGAATAGAGAGCGACCCCCCACACAAACTGGCAAAAGCCATAACAAAAGTTCTAACGCCTCTCCATAGTATTTTATATAATATTTTATAAAATTATAGCATTTAGTATTTTATATAGTATCTAGTATTTAATATTTATAGTATTATTAGTCGTTGTAACATACCTACGGACAATAACGCGTATGTCACCATTCACAAAAATACAGTAGTAAATACTGTATGTTGGTCCGCAGTTGGAGATCCGTCTTCAGCTGTGCTGGTCAAATCATAAGCCTATTAATAATAAAACTATTAATAGCATGCCCATTAATAATAAGCATAATAATAATAAATCTATTAATAGCATGCCCATTAATAATAAGCCTATTAATAATAAATCTATTAATAGCATGCCCATTAATAATAAGCCTATTAATAATAAATCTATTAATAGCATGCCCATTAATAATAAGCCTATTAATAATAAAACTATTAATAGCTTGCCCATTAATAATAAGCCTATTAATAATAAATCTATTAATAGTATGCCTATTAATAATAAGCCTATTAATAATAAATCTATTAATAGCTTGCCAATTAATAATAAGCCTATTAATAATAAATCTATTAATAGTATGCCTATTAATAATAAGCATATTAATAATAAATCTATTAATAGCATGCCCATTAATAATAAGCCTATTAATAAT